AAAAAAAAAACCGTCCTTTCCGCCCAGTGAAACTGAGATTTACTTCCTGGTCTAAAACCTCGCGCTGCCCAACGAATAAATTGCATGCACAGTTTTCTCCCACTCCCACCCGGATGACCGATAGGACTGAAGGTCTGTTTACTTTACATTTTTTTTACCTTTTTGAGGGGGGCGGGGCGGATGTGGTATCGATTCAGATGTTAAGAATCCTGACTCGGCTATCCCTGAAGCGCATCATCAGGTCAGGGCGACTTTTTTCCTATGGGAACACTGTTACGAGTTTTGAAAACGATTTAATGGTGATGTGTGCTTTTGAAATCAATGGGCATAATGTGCATGGACGTAGGCCTACTGGTACTCGAGTGATGCGTCATAAAGAACCAAAACAAAGTTGTGGGGTCATTAAAGTTCACGTTTCACTCCTCTGGGTTTTATTATTATTATATTTTTTTAAAAACCAACATTATTATACCTATTATAGGAGTCGTAACACGAGAAGCGGATCGAGTTACAATAGTACCGTAGTCAAAATAGAGTGAGATAATATTAAAAGAGTTAATGTTTATGTGCTTACATTTTTGTTTGAATGGCTGAAACAGGAATAAGTACTAGATCTAGTGTTGCCTTTAAATTTTTTCCTTTCGACAACGTCATAATACCGGGGACTTTGAAAGTTTTAGCTGATATTTATTTGAGTGTTGTTGGGGTAGAAATCAGGACCTCTTGTGCTCCAAAAGGCGGGCTCAAGCAAAGTTTCTGCAAACTGATTTGGTACTGTAGGCTAGAGTACTGATGTATTGATTTGCGTGCTTGTGCTTTCACGTGTAAACTTGTAGGCCTACAAGCTAATAAGCATGTATACATAGGCTCTTGTTAAACTCAAGAATACCCTCGCCCACCCTCTCAGAAAAACCCAATACCAAAGACAATAACAAAACAAAAAGAAAATGTTCTGATTAATTAAAATAAATCAAGCTGTTTATTTGTATTATTGTTGTTTTGTTTTTTTCTCATGCCAAAAGGTCCCCTCCCCTGGGCCCTTGTATTTCGATCTTTGCGTTCTCGGAAAGGAGCTTACTGTAACCTCCTTGGTTCTCGGTCATTGCCATTTGAAAAAAAAAGTCGATACGTTAATCCGACGGATCTGTTCTTCGGACAGAATGAGGTACGTCATTTCAACTCAGTTTTATAATTTTTTGAGTTTGCTTCGCACACTGCTTGTGAGAGGAGAGCAACTGGTTGATTAATTAAATATTGATTTATTTTTTAGAAAAGCAGTAATAGTGAGCTCTTTTATACTATAAGTATTTATTTTATGTCCACAGAACGCTGATCTATCTTTGACTTGAATGTACAAGAAGTTTAAGCAGCTTGTTCGGGCTGACAAATCATCGGGTCACGTCAGTGAACAAGCATTTTCTGCGAAGTCACAGCTCTCACCTGAGGTGCCACTTCCGGGTCGTAGTGGACCTACATCTACAAACAAGATGGCTTCTATTGTGTCAGCCGACGAAGTGCTCTCGAAAATTCGTGACGAAGTAGTGCACGAAGGCCATGGAGCATCACATGTATTCCTTATTATGGGGGCTTCGGTATGTGCATTTTGATTTTTCATCCTTTAGAGCATAAATAGGACATTATAATGGAATTGTTCAGTCAGCAACTCGTTTCGCCTACTTTGGCCTTGTTGTTGCAGTGAGTTGCTTGATTGAGTGTTGGTCACAGAAAGGTCACCATGGGTCAACGACGCCGGTATACATAATACAGGGTCAGGTATCAGGCTTGATAATATCAACAAAAATGCTAAGAAGCCGTCATAAATTGCATAATAGCAAAAAGCATCAAGTCAAGAGTCGCGAGCACATTAATTGAGCACCAGTCTTAATAAATTTGGTTTGACTAATAAATTGTGTAATGTCACTGAATCACAGACACAGTGACTGTGACAGTGATAATGTAGATTAAAATAGATAGATAAGACTTAATAAGACCATGCATGAGTCCATAGTTTTCAGAATTTGAAGTGTTGTTTGGTTTGCTTTTGGTGACCATTTTCTGCATTTTTGTAGTATTAAATTTGTTGACATGCGACTACACGCTGGGCGTAAACCAGGCTATGATTGGCTGAACCTTTGAACCATGAATACATTAAGTAGGCCTGGCCTACAGTAGGCTACTCTTGACGCTCTCAACGACACCCTCCTTGTCACTCTCTCCACCCTCCCTCTGTAGTGCATTCTGCCCC